GGACACCCAGCTGCTTCGAGAGTGCAGCAGACAGGGCAGAGTGAGGCAGGTTGGCTCCATGTGCCACAGCAGGATCAAAACAGGACCTTTCAGGATCCTTGCAGAGGACATGCTCTGATGTGCTGTTACCTTCCAAAACTGTCCTTGTGAAGCTGGAATGTGCACGTTCCTCTAGAATTTGGTAGGTGGATGGTTGGATTGCATGATCTTGGAGGTCTTTTCCAACCTGAGCAATTCTATGATTCCAATTTAATAATGCATCTCCGTTGCTCTGCTAGCGTGGTCCTGGGAAGAAGAGAGATGGCTGTAACTGTGACGGCTTATGAAGGCACATAATTCCTCTTGATTACTCCTGATGTCCTGGCTCTCCAGTGCATTAGGAGAGGTGACAGTAGAACCTTGGCTTCAATTCATATGCCCATGAAACATATGTGCTGCTCCTGGGACAGCCTCACTGGACAGAGAGTTGGAAAGAGTGGGAGAATAAATGAAATATCACAAAGTCCACACCCCCTCCTCCTGTGCCCATTTGAGTCCTGGCAGTGTTTATCTGGCTGAGACAGATACCAACCAAGGAATCCAGGTCAGAGCTGAAGTTCTCCAAGGCTAATGCAAAAAGATTGGGCTTGATCTAGTGTTCCAAATCTGGTAGTCCAGACCAGTAAAGGCAGATACCTGCCTGCATAGTTCTTCCATGCCACCACGAATGCTGGTGCTATCAGGCTAGGAAGGAGGTGCTCAGCTCTTTTACAAATGGACCAAAGTGTAAGAACTCTTTTCTTCTCTTTTTCATGCACTGCTGATGATACAAATCTCTCTCACTACTTTGCTTCTTCCAAACCTGCTCTGCGGGTTTCTGTCTATTCAGCTCTACCTCCCCCAGTGTGAGAACTGACACCCTTTTTCTGGAAGTCTCAGGAAGCATCTCAGTTTAATAAGCATCACAGGGAGGAAACGTTTCTTTTAAAAATACCATCTTGGGGATGAGTATTTTGTTGGTGCTGTCAGAAATAAGCTTCCACAGAGCTCAGCCCCAGCAGCTCCCTCAGGTGCCCGTGTGGACAGAGATCCACAGACCCGCTCCGCACCCAAAGGGCCCCTCCTGCGGCTCAGAGACAGCACTGCTGCACAGAGAAGGGCTTCTCCCTGCACGGCTGCACTGCTGCCTCCGTGAGCAACAGGGTAGTTTTGTAAGAAGCTAATGATGCTAAGGAGTGCAAACACTGAGTCTTACATGCACGCTTATTGCAGTGACACAGTAAACGTGATTTGTTCACCATTCTTCCTGTACAGGGGGTACAGGACAATGCAGCAAGTGGTGCTGTCAGAACAAGCAGTGTCAGCAGTAGAGGGAGAGGCCACTGCTGTTTGCGTCATCCTGCAAGTATAAGCAGAAAGCCAAGCAGCAGAAGTACTGTGTGAAGGCTGCGGCTAGGGAGCAGGAATAAGAGATGCTCCTGAAGTTCTTGTGAAGGCTGCAGCTGTGATGCCGCTACTGGAGGTGGGATTTGTGCCTCTCGGTACTGAGAAGGAATTGAGAACTGGCCTGTGTCCAGAGAGAAGCAATAAGAATAGCCATGAGTTTGATGTAGCTGTTCACTTCCCCATGCTCAGTGAGATGGGGGCAGGCCCAGATTTAGCTGCCTGTGGTCTAGTGCATAACTAAGACGCTACCACATGCCGGCTTCCACTGCCTCGTGGCATCTGTTGGTCCTAAGGGATGTTCCCCTCTTCTGCTGCATTTTTGTTTCTTCCCTTCAATTGTTGTTTCTTTGCAGCCCTCCTGGATCTGTCTGGTGCAGCTCAGGTCAAAGGGGTATGGATGGGATCCACCACTATACCATGTACCTACACGCCTTCACGAGGTTTCACACAGCAGGTGCTCACCTGGCGCATAGAGAGAGACCTCAGCACCTCCACCATCTTTCGGAGGGATGCTTCTGGTGATCACATCCTGTTATCTCGGTTCCGAAACCGAGTCAGTGTCCCAAAGAGCAGCCCAGGGGATGCCTCACTCCACATCACAGACCTCGAAATTCCTGACAGCGGACACTACACCTGTCAAGTCAGCTGGAGGTCTGAAAACTACAGCCTGATAACGAAGGAGGTGACCACTACAGTTAAAGTCGCCAAAGGTAATCCAGCAATAAAGCTTTGCTGTTGTATAATCTGCAGAACAATTCGGAGAAGAGGCAGTTCACTCCATTCTGCCTGCCCATATCCATATCGAGTTGGGTGTTGAGGTACCTGGATGGGAAGAGCCTTCTGCTCAGTTCTGTGCGTTCAGGAAGGGATAGCAGTGAGTCTGCACTCACTGTGGTGTGGATCTGCCAGTGGGACACAGATCCAGGTGCACCCAGGACTGGATCTGGTTCTGTGCAGATACACAATGTCCCTGGCTCTTGTAGCACATGGGAATCATGCTGGCCGGACGTGCCTTCCCCCCTTTCCAAGCACTCTCAGTGCTTGGCAGAGCATCAGCAGAGCAGGCTGATGTGGTGCAGCAGTGGCAATAGGTGACACAGCTGGTGCACATCTATATCCATAGGCACAGCTGCACAGAGCGCAACCCAGTGGTGATGTCCTGGGAAAGGACCGTGAGGATGGGAGTTGCTTTAGTGTGAGGGAAACCTTCCCCTACCACAGCCACCATGACCCATCTGCTTTGTCTTGTAGTGGCTGTGACCAAGCCCACCATTGTGGCTGGAGAGCTGGGGCTGGCTGTGCCAGTGGGAGCCAAGGCTAGCCTGACTTGTGTGGCACAAGGGTCCCCCCCCATCAGCTACCACTGGTTCCGGATGGCACCAGGCAGGAGTGGGCAGCTCCTGGGCAATGAAGCTGAGCTGGTGTGGAGCAGCCTGCAGCCCTCTGATGCAGGGGTGTACTACTGCGAGGTGAAGAACAGGGTCAATACCCAGATGGTGCAGCGCAGTGATGCTGTTGAGCTGACAGTGAGAGGTGAGTCCCAGCCCTCAACTCCTCATTGAGGCAGACACAGAGGGGTGCAGGGTTTGGGTGCATAATGCCAAATGTGGATCGTGTCCTGCCTGCTTCAGAGTGTAGCAGGTCAGGCAAAGCCCAGGAGATAGCACCCAGCCCCTGGCAGCATGGCTGAGCAGGAGGGAGCCTGCCTCAGCCCTCAGCGCACCTCATGGTGCCTGGCAAGCCATGCTGGCAGTGTGAGGCCGATGCTATAGTGCCTATGGAGAAGGACTCCAGGCATCCAGGAGTGGCTGGGGGAGCGCTGCATCCTGCGGGCACACATTGAGCCTCCCTGCCCTTTTCATTTGCAGATCTGTCTGTCACGACGGAGGCATACCGCCCAGCCACAGGTCAGCAGGGAGCAATGTGTGACCAGGGTGAGGGGCTGGGGGCTGGGAGCTGACCCAGTGCTTAGCAGTAATAACAGCAATCTTGGGATGATGCTTAAGTCAGTCCAAAAGTCACCAAGACGACAAGCTGATGCAATGCCTGAAATCCTTCCCAAGAGCACATGCAGACCATGTACTGCCACTTCGGTTCCCTACCGCAGTCTCTTGGCAACCATCCATGGGAACACAAACTCAATGATGCCCACATAAAACTGGCCCAGAGGAGGGGGGAAGCTTATATTGATATCTACAATTAGGCATGCCACCTCAGACTCTCCTTAGACCTTAGAAAGGACCGAACAGAAACAACAGATACAAATGAGACAAAAGCCTCTGTAAAGCAGCTGCTTTCCTTGCCAAGGATATCTCCTCTGAGGAAGGATGCAAAGTTGCCAGATCATCTCTGTGGGTTGTGGGAACTCAGACCTGGGCTACGGTAGAACCTCTTGTGGAAACTTTAACACTGAGGTCATTTCATCTGAATCAATTGTGTGCCACCATAGCAGGTCATGTAAATCAGCTTCAGCAGCTAGAAGTTAAGGGAAGGGGCTGCTTATTTCCAGAACTTATCTATTTCCACGGCAGATTGGAATTGCACTGCACACTTCTCATTCTTGTTGGTTTTGCAGATCTGCCTGAAGCTGCAGTGACTTCTGAGAATGTTGTGGGATACCCAGAAACAGATGAAACAACTCAGAGTAAGTTGAGACATCGGTGTAACTCAAGATTGAGGGACCCGAACTGACTGCTCAGTATCTTCCATTCCAAAGTTTGTGTTCTGTATTTTGGCTACAAATGGCATTGCTAGCTGTTCTCAAGGGACCTAGATGTTTTTTAGGGACTCTTAGAATAAACCAGATACTTCTAGGGAAAAAAGAAATACGTTCCATAGCCAGAACATCCAGACTTCTTGCAGCATTCCTGACCAGCAGTTCATTCTGCTCTCAAGGCTGGAGCAACAAAAAGGACTGTGTGCAAACTGACTCTCTGTACCTCAGCTAAGTTTGCAGTGCCATGGTAGGTTTGAACATGCTCCAAATACAATTGGACAGCATCCTTGAATGAAAAGTGTTAAGGGCACCATCTGAAAGTCTTTCTTCAATGGCATGCACTGCACAATTCCGCCCTGCTCACAGCTACAGCCCCAGCACTCAGCAGGAGGCTCTGGCTCACATAAAAATACCCATGTGGGGCCAAATGGGCAAGATGCTGCTACATGGGGAGTAGCAGGGACATAGTCAAGTAGTGCACAACTGCACGCAGAGCTCAGGGGCTGGCTGGGCCTCCAGGATGTGGTCAGCACCATGTAAGTGCTGTTGCAGCCTGGGAGGGCTTCTCTGTTTGAAAGTCTTGTGCCATATTGCTACAGGTTCCTGGAGGACTCACCTGTACCTGGTCATCCCGATTGCTGTGTTGGGTGGTGCTGTGGTTTTCCTTGTCATTTTTGCTATTGCTTGTGCTAGAAAGCCCAAAAATGGTGAGTAGATTGTTGTGGGGAGCTTGAATACCTGCCGTGGTTTGGCTTTGAGGGCTTTGTGGGCTGGGGTTGGTACTGTCCTCACAGCTGTGTGTGACGGCTCTGGTAGCTGAAGACACTTGACCAAAGCAGATACAAATTAAAATAGGTGGTGAAAGACTGAAAAAGGCATTTCCTTTTTATTAACAAATACAGAATATATTTATTGAATGCTTGAACACACAAGAGCATGCACTTTCTAAAAATTATTTTTGTTAAAGGCATTCAGAACAGCATCTTTTTAATAGGGGTGGGCAGGTAGGGCAGGGCACTGTGCTCCCTCCAGCCCCATTCCTATCCCCACAGTCCCATCACTCTGCCTTGGCCCCCTCCTTGCCCCACTGTCCCCCCAGGGAGCAACAAGGTGGATTCCTGAAGGTGCAAATACCTGGAAGCATCTGTGGTTTCTTTGTTGGTTTTGCTTGCTTTCTTCCCTTTTTATTTTTATTTCTGGGGTACATTCGTCATAAAATGTACTGATGCATATCTTCAATTCTTCCTTTTTTTCAGAATCCATCTATGAAGTTGCTTTGTAAGTACAATTTTTCACCTATTATGTAGAGAAGACTTTTGAGGGCATCATACTGTTATTTGTTTCAGAAAAGCCTTTTTACTCAGCAAAAAGCCAGAGATTTCTTTTATCTGTCTGGGACAGAGTTAATATTCCTCATAACACCCCTAACACTGCTTTACATTTGTGCCTAAAACAGTGTCAGTAACCCCACAGGGATTTGGCTATTGCTGAGCACTTGTGCAGCACCAAGGCTCTCTTTCCAACCCACAGAGGCCAGCAGGTCAGGGTTGGCAACAGCTTGGGTAGGACGCAGCCAGGACAGCTGACCTATCCTGACCACAAAGATTTTCCACACCGTATGACACCCAGCTCAACAGTAATGCTGAGGGATGTGGGAGGAGCTGGGGGAGGCGTTTCTGGTTACATCAATTGCCTTTGGAAGCAACCATCACGTGTACTGAGGCTCGGATTCCCAGGCAGTGGCTGGGTATTGACAGCCGATGGGAAGCAAAGAATAAATCACCCTGCTTCTTTCTGATCGCTTCCACACGTGGCCTTTGCTTTTGTCATTAAAGTGCCTCTAACTTAATTCGAGAACTTGTCCATCTTACATTCTCTCCATTATGCAGAGGAGGTGGAGTGAGATAGCAGCTGTTAAGGGGGATTTAGTCCTCATTCTTAAGAATGTCTCTTTGTTTCAGCCACAGCACTGCAGATGTGATTAGATTGGACACTGATGTGGAAGTCCCTGTTAAGTGCAGAAAAGAGAAGATAAATTCTGAGACTGAAGAATCCTATGAAAATGTTACCGTGACATGCAACAACTATGAGAGCATAACAGGCAACAGCTATGAGAGCACATGCCTGAGTAAAGATGCTGAGAGTGAGACCCTTGTGAATGCAATGGAATCAGAATACGAAGTACAGAACTTTCAGTAGAGTACCAGCATTTCCCACGTGAGCAGCTGTGCAGAAGATGAGGCTACAGATACTGAGCGGTAAACTTTACCAAGGGAAACTATTCTTCCTGTCTGCCTTCTCCTCTGATAAATATACCAGTTTTACTGCTTTCTTTAACTCAGGGGAACTTCTTAGGATTTGGCAAATGAGTCCCTGCCCAGTGGTGCAGAAACCTTCAGCCAAGCGGCTGTCTGTCCACACATTTTTAAATAGCAAATAATTTCTGAGCAGCCTGAAGGAGCAAAGTGAGAAAGAAATGCTCTGAAGGGGTGGAAACAGAAACATCCTTTGCCTCCAGGTCAAAGTGCAGCTGGGTGCAACACTGCTAGCCAATAACACCAGCAAGACGCACTCTCAAGTGCATGTTCCCCTGTTTGGGCATGCCAGACTGCGAGGAGCCAAGAACTGTACTGGAAATGGATGGCTTCTGGCTTTTACAGTCCAGCAGATACTGGTCGTACTGCTTGTTTGTTCTGGAGTTGTCTTGTTGTTAGAGGATACTAAAAAGACTACAGAAGGGGTTGATATCTCAGGAATATCATTTAGCAATCAAACTGGAGCTCCTCACAAGTGGGAATAACCCTGTAGGTGATGAGCCTCTTAACTAGCACCCTCTGTTTTTCTTCTGGCAAAGCAGAGCTGGTTTTGAAGGGATTGCTAGCACTTCATTTTGCAGTGTGGAAGCCAGAAGCATGATAAAAAAGCGTTGCAGAGAGAAATCTGAGGCATTTGGAACAGCGACTGAGTAAGGGAGATCCTGGATCCAGCAGACTGACACCGACTCACTGTATGGGACATGACTAAATCTGGTTACACTTGGGATGTTCATGCTTGTCTACCTAATGAGGGTGCCGTGAGCTTTCATTTGTAAAATGCCTTGATTAGTGCACTGCCATTTGTTTCCCATGGCAAATATAAAGTACTTCAAAAGCATCTGTAGTAGATGCTTTCTGGCTTTCTTGGTGTTTTACCACACAGTGCCTTCACATGTCTGTTGTTTGCAAATTTGTGCTCTTTCTCTGTCTTCTGGTTCGATTATGTAGAACGGATAGGCGTACAGACCAGACATGGCCAGCATTTGACTTTTGGCCTTTGGCACAGTAGCAACATCCTTTTCTCCAAATTGGAAAGATGGATTTGATGGGTGGACTGGTCAACAGACAAAGAACTGGATGCAGAATCGAGGCCAGAGAGTGTTTGTCAATGGCTCCATGTCTGGATGGAGATCAGTGATGTGTGGTGTCCCCCGGGGGTCAGAACTGGGACTGATACTCTTTAATATCTTCATCAGTGACAGCAACAGTGGGATCGAGTGCACCCTCAGCAGTTTGCTGATACCCCAAGCTGTGAGGTGTGGCAGACACACCAGAGGGATGTGATGCCATCCAGAGGGACTGAGACAGGCTCAAGCAGTGGGCCCAGGTGAACCTCATGAAGTTCAGCAGATCCAAATGTGGGGTCTTGCACTTGGGTCGAGGCAACCCTCACTACCAATACAAACTGGGGGATGAAAGGAATGATAAAAAAGCATTGCAGAGAGAAATCTGAGGCATTTGGAATAGTGACTGAGTAAGGGAGATCCTGGATGAAAAAGCCCTGGGGGTACTGGTGGGTGGAAGGCTGGACAGGAACCAACAGTATGCCTCACAGCCCAGAAAGCCAACCGTATGCTGGGCTGAATCAAAAGATGTGTGGCCAGCAGGGCAAGAGAGGTGATCCTGCACTTCTACTCTACGCTGTGAAGCTTCACCTGGAGCACTGCATCCAGACAGGAGAGACATAGACCTGTTGGAGAGCATCCAGAGGAGGGCCACAGAAATGATCCCAGGGATGGAACACCTCTCCAACGATGACAGGCTGCGACCCGGGGCTGTTCAGCCTGAAGAGAAGGCTGCGAGGTGACCTGAGAGTGGCCTTTCGGTATCTAAAGGGGAGCTGTGGGAATGAAGGGGACAGCCTCTGTAGCAGGGTCTGTGGTGATGGAACAAGGGTAAATGGCTTCAAGCATAAAAGGGGAGATTTAGGTTGGATATGTGGTGGTGAGGCACCGGAACAGGTTGCAGAGAGATGTGGAGGATACTCCAACCCTGGAAACTTTCACGGTAAGGCTGGATCAGGCCCTGGGCAACCTGGGAGCTGTGGTTGTCCCTGTTCATTGCAGGGGAGTTGGACTAGATGACCTCTGAAGGTCCCTTCCAACTGTAAGGGAATCTCTGACTCTGTGACTTGGAAGTTTGACCTGGGTTTCCTTTTTAGAGAGGACAGGTGAGAGACATCAAGCCCACACCACGCTCCTCTCATTATTTCAACCACAGTTGCAGGCACTGCACGATGGCTGTGCTGCAGCGCCAGGATGCTGAGCTTCCTGAGTTGCAGGTAGCACCCAGCAGGACTGTGTCCCCAGGGGCTACGCGGGGCTCAGCCTCATGCTAAGCATTGATCTGCACACGTGTGTTGCTGGTGCTTCCACCTGGCCTGCTCCCTGCTCCTGCCTGCTGGAGAGGAGGGTAGCTGTGTCCTGGCTGAGGAGGAGAAGTGCTGGGATTGCTGGAAATATGTGCGAGGGGCTCTTTTGCTTTGTCTCTGGGTAGCTCATCCTGAAAGGGCTATGTGCTCTTTGTAACTCATGCACTCACTGCAGAGTGCACCTCACAGAAGCTGGCCTTGAAGGCGCAGGGTTGAAACAGTAGTGTTGGTGCTGCCAGTCTTGGGTGAAGCAGGACAAAAGAAATGAGGAAAATGGGGAGCTGCAGCCCTTTGCACAGAGAGCAGAAGCATATGGTATGAGGCCAGTGCTATGTTGGAAGGAACTGAAAGCTTCTGAGCTTCCCAATTGTCATCACAGCAGACAAAATGTAGAACATGGCTCTCTTTTCTTCCACTCCAAGTCTCAAGCTCATTCATTTACAGCTAGCCTAATGTGTTAGGTAAGATTTACTTTCAATATAAGCTCCAGACTTCACATTCCCTCACTGACTATGTAACAATGTGATTTCTCCAAACTGCGCTTCCTCCCAGCATCAATCTTCCCTGAGCAACTCCAGGCAGTTTCCTCAGGAGCCCTGAATTCAAGGAGAGGCTGCAAAAGAAGAAAGCAACAGGAACAAAGAAAGAGGTAGCAAACACCTCAGCTGGAGCGCATCCTGAGTACCTCAGCTGTTGGCACTGCCTCCAGTCCAGGCAGCAAAATGGCCTTGGTCACCAGGGAAAGACGCACACATTCTGCTGTGCCCAAGTTGTTGTTCCCTCTATGCACCACATGCTTATTTTTTATTTATATTTTTTGCGTGCTTGGTAGTAAAAGCCAGTGGGAACAGAATGTTTTCCTCCTGAAAGCCGTAGAGGGCTCTGCTGTGTCACATCTCATCAAACAGAACTTCTCCTTTCCTTGTGCTGGTCATTCACCCAGTGACATGGCTCATCTGACAGAGCCCAGTTCTACACTAGCACAGAAAGGGAAACCTCAGCTTCCGCTCTGAAACTACAGGGTCTCCAGAAAAGTACACTATTTCTAGCAGCCAGCACAATATCATGAGACTTGAAGCTCCCCACACTTCTGTACAGCTGTGCAGACCTGCTGGCTTCTAAACTGCCAGGTTTAGGCCAGCCATCAGAGCCCTCCTGAACCTGCTGCTCTCAACAGAGAGAGGAGAGAAAGGCTCTGGTAGAGAAGTTTGTCCCCCTCTGCTTTGGTATTTCTCACAGAATAAGAATGGATTAACTTTTCTAAAAGCAAAAGCTGTAAATGCATAACAAAACAACTGTAAAGAGCTTAAAATGAACACTGGGCTAGCTGTACTGCACTGCACTGCACAACACTTCAGGCCTGCTGCAACCCGGAGGTCTGTGAGGGTGACGAGAGCTGGGGCTGATGTATCTACCAGCTACATTAAGGATCCACAGAGGACAAAACAAACCCTCAAATAATAGACTTTGCTCTCTTTTGAAGCTGACCTCAGTGATACTGATCAGAGTGATGTCTGTGAGTCATGCGTAGGTGTTGGAAAGAGACCACGGGAGTGTGAGTCACAGCGGGTAGGACCGTGTTTGTCCAGAAGCACACAGTGAGCCCTGCTGATAGGACTTACTCAGAAAGCAGAACACAGTTTGCTTAGGCCAAACTACATGTTAATTGGTCCCAGCTTTGTACAAACTCCAACTTCTTCAAAATATTTAGGAAAAAAAACCCCAAAACTTAGTATTAAAAAATATCAATATTCTCAAATACCACAAAATTTGACCTAAAAGAAAGGTCAGTAGGGCTTTGGCATTTTTCTCTCAGCGTCTGAGCAAAGCAGTTAGTCAAACTGGGCTGGGCACTTGTGCTCTGTCAGCTGCGCCCCTCGCTCACCAAGGGCTATCTCAAGCTGTGTGTCTGATATGCTACAAGGCTGTCCTTAAAAAAAAATGCTAAGAGAGCATTAGATCTTCAAGCAAGGTCACTTAGAGAGAATTATTTGAACAAAATAGAAACGTGGCAAAAGCAAGAAGCAGCCTTGCTGCAAGTGCTGACTAGGAAGACCCAGCCAAAACCAAATAACACTACTGCAAGGAAAAGTAATGGACTCCATGGTCTTTCTCAAAAACAGCCCAGTTCTGTTCTCCCAGTGCAGAAGAACTGTACTAGCACTCCTGTAGCAGTTTGCCACTAGAATACCACTCCAACAGGCATCCCTGAGACCAGGGTGGAAAGGAAACCTGACAGCATGAAATCAGCGGGGCACCCACTAACAGTGGGGCGGTTTGTTCCGTACCTTGTTGGGTTTTTAGAGAGGAGCAGAATATGGGCGTGAAGGAGTCCATCGCCTCGGTGCACGGCCGTGTTGCTCAGCAAGTGCCTCACTTGGGGTATTTGACAAACTGACACTCTGCCAGACTGAGTGTCAAACTCAGCTTGTCAAATACACGCAGTGCTGCACTGCAGCTCTCAGCAGGCTGTCACCATCCTCGCTGCGGTGCTGTCCTGGGCTAACAGAAGGAAAAGAGCGCTGAAGCTGCTGTTAACTCCAGAGGCATATTCCATTTAGCAAACATCATCATCCCTCCTATACTTCCCCATTCCAACACATCTGGGGAGGCAGACATTGCCTTCCTGCTGAGGAAAATGCTATATTTGTTGAAGTGCGGAAGATCTGTGGAGCTGGAAATAATGCTGAGTTCTAAGCTCTCCCTTTAGCTAAAGATCAACTTTGGTAGCTTGAAATATTGACAAAATATCCATCTGAGCACTCAGACATGCCATTTGGGTACAACATCATGAAGACAAATGTCTCTCTAGACACACAACGTCTAGACAAAGACCTGGAGAACATATTGCAGGGGAACAATTCTGCACAGGGCAGAGATAAGAGCATGATTTTTCACCAGGCTTCTCACCACTTCCATTTCTGTTCTCCTAAGCTTAAATGAGTTTTTGGGGGCTTCTAGCACTTGGTTTCTTTTATTTGCCTCTCTGTTAATTTTGCAATCAAGTGGTCATATGCTTTCCAGTGCCCAATTCTAGATATGTATTTCTGCTATAGCCAGTCTGACAGATCCCAAGGAACACAGGCTGGGGTGAAATCCTGGCTTTACGCACTTCAGAGTTCCTACTAACAGGAACAGGATTCGTGTTTTACCTCATACTGTACACTAACGGTTAAAAGGGATCTTTCTACCTAAACCTAAAGATTTGAAAAGGGAACCCTTCAAGCCTATCTGGAAAAAGGCACAACTCTGCCTCACAACTCTGCTCCCAGAGTCTGCCTGCCAGCAGGAAGCTGCACTGCTCATTGTAAAGCCTGTGATGTTAAAAACTGAGCTGCTCCACAGAGAAACACTGAACTTCTCGGGGAATGAAGTGAAACTTTCTCTTCCTCTGCCGAATTAATCCCCTTCTGCTTCATTTCCAGCACACAAGAATCTCTCCTGCAATAAACAGAACTCTCCACCCTCATACATGGACATTCTCCATGTCCCTTTAGGCGTGAACATAACCTTCCCTCTCCCATTATTCCTTTGCACAAAGGCCAGAAGATGCTGCCAGCTCCCCTGTTCCTTTAAGAAGAGTGGGAATTAAACTCAGAAAAGCACCTGAAGAACTTTAAAAAAACTAGACAATAGTAATAGCAGTATCTCTCTTAACTCGTACTGTGATGGGATGTTGGCAGTTCAGAATTCAAACAGCTTTGAATTCCAGCATGTTCAACTCTCTCAGAAATTCATTGTGATTCCTGAGCTGTACTCATCCTTCGTAGCACTGAGATCCAGCACCCATTACAGCTCGGCAGGCCATGCCCAGCTGTGACCTGGTTTGAGTCACGGTGCTTTTAGCTGCCTTGCTTCTCCCCTCATCTTCATTTCACATGACTTGCAGCATCAGTTTTTGAGAAAGAATAAACTTCAGCTCAGCTTCTCATTATACTTTGGAACGACAACCACTAAAGACATGAAGGTAGAATTTAGCTGAGGTGTGTTAACAGCATTCTGCAGTGAGCAATATGAAGCCTTTTCTGTCTCTGACTTCTAGGACTCTATTTTACAAGGATCATTGTAGGAATTCATCAATATTACACACAGAAATAAACTGAAAAGGGCATCTTTGGGTTTTTTTGTTTGTTTGTTTCTCAAAAATTAAAGTACAAATTAAAAAATGTTAGTGGCACCTCTGTGCCAAAGATGCCCTCTTCATGTGAGCTGCAAAACCAGTACAGTGAAAAAGGATTTTACAGCAAAAAAAACAGCGACAGCCTTAAAGATAAAATCAATTTCCAGGCAAGGTTACTACTTACAAGGTTACTACAACGGCTTCACAAGTCTTACATTCCCCTGCCCTCTGCATCAGGCCTTCAGGGAGATGTAGATAGTGAACAGCTCTTTGTTCCGCCTCCTAATTCAGGGTGAGTTTCAACCACAGATAAAAGTGGTATGTTGCAGTGGATAAAAGAATTATGCACATTTCACACTAGAAAACTTGTGTCAGTGCTAATAAGCTGATTTAAGATCACTCCAGCAAAATACTGGTTTAAGTGCAATTAAAATGGGTACGTGGGCCAAACGGGTCTCCTTCCAAATCACACTCTGCTGTACTGCAGGAAATAAAAAAAATAAATTAATAAACCCCAAAGGGTTTACACAGCTGCTGTCAGTCTTAAAAAAAGCAGGATAAGATCCCTCTGCCTGAAAATGCTTTGTCAGTAAGAATTCAACACTGCACACTGAGGAGAGCAGGGGGTTAAAAAATAAACTGCCCTCATTGACTCAGAACATCAGTGTGCAATGGAGGGGTTGTACAGAGACTGAGTAGGAATCTGCCACAGACCTGCCCTGCTTCAGTGCTGGTTGCCAACTGGAAGATCTGGCCTTGAGAGGAAAAAAATCAGCCAGCATTGCATCTGCTCCAGCAGCTGACAATAACCCCTCACTGCAGGGGGGTGGGTGGCCCCCCGCAACAGCCACAAGAAACGTTGCTGACAGTAACGGATAAGAGGAGGGTCACACAGTGGAGATAATTCTATCAGCAGATGGGAATGGAGCTCACTACCCCACCCTGTAATGATGGTATCTCTTCTGAATAGATCTGTCACTGTCAGAACTTCTGGTTTCAAGCTTTTGGGGTATTTCCAACTCAAAGCTTAGTGCTGTAAAAGAGACCAAGCAATCAACTCCATACTGTGGGGGAGAAACAGAAAGAGCTTCCTGCATTCTCCAGTTAAGTCCCTTATTGAAGTTAGGGGGAAAAACCAAAACTTTTCTAAGTCACTCACCGTCTCTCGGGGGATTTTACATGGCTACCAGGCAGGTCTGCAGCCTGTGATGAAAACAAATGAAAAGTAAAATTATTGCATACATTTTTCTCTAAGCCTGATAACAGCATGCACAAATATGCAACAGTGTGTTTCTTGCACACTGAGTGGCAGCGCCTTAAGTCGAAGGCTACTTCCATTCCAGGATATGCACTTACTGTGCAGGATTAGCACTGGAATCCAGGCCATCTCTGTTTTCTGCTCAGTGAAACCCAAATAGCAGCCTGGACTGAAAGCAAGAATTCCCACAGATGTGTAGGAACCGGGTCCTCTGTACCATGGCTGTCAGTGAACCTTGGGACATGCTTCTCCAGGATCTGGAAGCCTTCGTCAGAACCAAGTCAAACTTAAATAAGCATTTGCTGGTGGCAGACTTCCCATGGGTGCTGATCCATTTAGGATCTTCCTGTGCTCCCAGCCCTGCAGCTGACACTGCTGAGAGCTTTGCTTGAAAAATGTTGGAATGTTTGGCACAGTCCAGTCTCATCTATCAGGCAGGCTCCAGTGAAGCCTGGAGCTGCAGCTCTAAGGGTTTACTTCATCACAGGCAAGCTGGGCTGTACATCTATTATAGCTCCCTGTAGCACATCTGCTGGCTTGAACGAGACAGTTAGCAATTTAAAAATGGAACAAGAGGCCAAATGCAACATCTATTTAAATAATAACTTTTGCTGCTCAGCTGGAAGGTGCCAAAGCAGCTCTGAGCTGCCTCCTTTGTCATACAGAGCAGCTCCAGACTGAGCCCATCACAGCCCAGCAACACTGTGGAGGAGCAGTGTTCAAGGGACAGCCCCATTCCTGCCCCAGCAGCCTCTCCCCCCCGGCTCTGCAGCGATTAGAAGGGCCCTTGCCTCTCACACCAGACTGCCAGGAGCCTGTGGGCTGAAGGTCACCACTGAGCCACTGCTCTGTCCTGAAGAAAGCTCCTAAAGCTGAGACTCAGCAGTCGCACCACAGCATTGGGGAGCACCTAGCTAAGAGCCTACAGTGCTTGATGAGGGCCATACGCATCTAGCAGCCACACGTTCCCACTGCCACTCACTCACACTGCCATTACCTTGGCCATACAGCTCCACACATGCTCGGTTTGTTCCCGCTTTTGTAAAAAGGCTGAGAGCAGCCCAGGCTGGACATCCCCTTCCTGGCCCTGCTCCTCCATCTTGTCCCATAAGTCTAACTTTCCCTCTTTGGACCTATTCCAAAAGCAAAGAACATAATTCAGCACTCTTTCCCCGCATACAATGTAGCCCCACTTCCAACAGGAAACTGCATGGTTGCCTACCTCGTGCCTCCACACCTCCTTCCCAGGAGTAAGAGGCAACAAAGCATACAGCCAGCCCCAGCTCTGGGTGCAGAGCCATAAGTATAAGGCACCTTCTAGCAGCTGCAAATGCTCTGGGAAGGAGGCCGTGGGCTTTGGCTATGGCTGCAGAAAAAGCTTTTGAAGTCCCAAAATGCTGGCACCTCGCATTTAGGCGAAAGTGCTGGGAAGGGCCCAGTCACCACATTAGCTGGTAGCATGGCCACATGCCCTCCCACATCACCCGCACTCACCTGTCAGCTCCAGCCCCTTCCCCCGCTGCTCTGCGATGCTTTCTGGAGGTCGGGAGAACCTTCATCTGACAGCCTGGATCTGGGAAACAGCCAGGAGAGGAGCTGAAGGACATAACTGTGCCCAGCTGGGACACGATTCCCCAGTACACCCTCCTCCATCCCACAACTTCCCCACTCTTCGTTGATGTCTCATCTATGACTAGTTGAGATCATAATCTTGCTACAGCCAGTAACATCTGTAGCATGTCTGCATGTGCCTGCAGGAGGCAGGGAAAACACATGCATCCCAACATTAAGTAGGGTATGGACACCACTTAATATTATTAATTCCTAATTATCTTCATTACTGAATCACTGTCCCAAGGACTGCATTCCCTAGGTAGGATGGGCTGTGTCTGCATCCTGCAGCTCTGAACACACAGAAGACACACTGCCCAACCACAGCTGCTCCCCAAAGGGGAATATCAACAAAGCTTCCCTGGCTTAGCAAGAAATGCTCTCGACATGGAAGGAGCAACCAGACCTGAGCTCCCATCCCCCAGAAGCTGGAGGGGCAATGGCGGCAGGGCGCCCCAAAGCCAGTGACCCACAGGGTGATCCTCCCTCTCCCCTCAGCTGCAGAACAGACCTCTGGCACCTACCAGGCAGAGGCAGCGGTGTGGGGCTGGCTTGGCAGCAGGGCACAGCTCAGGGAACACAGCTCAGTTTTGAAGGGGCCGCTCCTCCTTCAAGAGGAAGCTGCAAATGGGGAAGATAAGGCTGAGGTTAGATAACAGGAAACGTCTGGAAGCGAGTGACAACACGTTCAGGTTGTGAAAGCAGCTCCCCATCCCATACTAGTGTGCAAGGCTTGGAGAGGGCAAGAGACAGCTAGGATGACCCTCAAGCCCTCACTATGTGCAGCCAAATCACCTCAGCAAGCCCAGGTCTTTGGAGCAGAACAGCCAATCCCTCACATCCCAGCTGAGGGCATCATCCTGCTTGCCCTGCTGTCTCCACAATGAAGCAGCTGCACGGCTGTGCTGGCTGCCCAAAGCTGGCCAGCTCACAGCATCACAGCAAAGCTGGGCTGGGGGACCCAGAGGAGCTGCAGGGAGAGCTGGAAAGGACACAAAGTCAAGGATCACCAGGAAGTCTTCGACTCAAGGAACAGGCTCATCAACATGCTTGACCCAGAGGGGTTTCTTGTATCTTCAGCTGCATAAGCAGCAGGATAAGGGCTGCCAAAGTGCTGCCTCTGGAGCTGCACCCAGACTTTATTCAGCATCATCCAGAGTTATAAACAGAGCAGATCCTGATTCTTACATCATGGCCTGCCTGCAGTACAGGGTGCCCTAAGGTAGATGGTGCATCATCCCTCAGTGCTGCTTTCATCTAACTTGACTGGCAGCAAGGCATGTCAATACAGCTGTGTAGACAGAGGCCAGCGCAGAAGCTAAACTGGTCCAAGCAAAAGCAGAAACTTTAGAGGGAGATTCTTTAGTGTGGTCAGTACGCTGTACCATATTTTGTAAGGACAGGACTCATTACAAGTGTTACTTTGTGCCTGCATTATCCCAAGCATGTATGCCAGCAGCAGTGCCACCATTAAGATGTGGAATCCTTCTCAGGATCCATCTTCTCTCTCCCAGCACTCAGCTGTTGTCCTCATTTTCCAACTTCTAACTCTCAGGTTTTCCTTCCCAGCCTTCCTACTCCAGTCCCAGCTCTGATGCCAAACCACTCAGAGCTCTTCTCACATGTGCTGCCTCAGTCCTTTGGCTAATGCAGGCTCCAGCAGCAAGTGCTGCATAATCTCCAGCAGCTTTCAGTTACGTTATCAGCAAGCTTGGGGTGCAGACATTTATTTATTATGTTCCTGCAGTTCTGTCCAAATCCCTGATCTGTAAGACATGTATGCCAGGGACTGTGCGCTCCAAGATCCTTGGGACTGCTTGTGGGCTGCTCCTGTGCTTGTGTGTAGGTGCCAGGGAGGCCAGCTCTCCTGCTGAAATCCAAACCTGACGCTTGTGCTGAGGGATAGTTAGATAATGAGGAATACAGTTACTTTCAAGTTCCTCTTTCATCTGCCTGTGTTTTAAAATACATAATAAAAGAGGAATGGAAAGGTCTGGGTGGTTTATTTCTGTTTTTACTTTGGTTTTAGTTAGGGCAAAGAAACGGGCTTCATGTAGTCTTTGTAGCCTTTTTCTGGCCTTTCTTTTTCACTCTCCTTCTTTTGCTTATGCCCAAAAGGCTTTAAAATGGCTTAACACTGAGGTTAGGATCTATAGAAAGAAAGAAAGGGCAAATATTTTATTTTTACTATTTGTGGGCACGCAGTGCAAATAAAGTGCTGAAAAACAAAATTCTTGGTCACTCACATTGGAAGACAACTCAGGGCTGAATTTAAGAGTGAGAGAACACCCAGGCAAATACCACAGCATTTTGTCATTTCTGAAAGCCCAGACAAATCCAAATTCTTCAGTCCACACTCTAATCTCACGTTGGACTTCTCTGTATTCTCAACATGAAGCAGCTAACAGTGCCTCTCCCGTCATTTTCTGGTATGTGAACAAAAGATCTGAATTCTAATCACTCATCTTTGCTAGTTTCAACAACAAGTTCTTAGCATTACTGATAAAACCCTGTCAGCCTGTTTCTGAACATCTGAGGGACTTCCTGTATTTTACTGGAAATAGTGCTGATGCACAACAGCGTGGATCAGAATCGATTCTGGCCCACAGGCAAAAAAAGTCAGAACCTGAAAAATGCACTCAAAATGTAGATGCTATTCAATACACACATTAGGAGAACAGGAGAAAATTCCTCCACAGATTTACTTGTCCTTTTTGCAACCCTCTGCAAGTTTGGCTCCATCCTGCTGGCAGCTATCTCCATACTGCTCTGAAGATAGGGGTCAAGTGTGCTGCATCTGTTGTACAGGAGGTCAGGGTGGTTAATCAGAGTGGTCTCTTTTGGCCACTCCTTCTCACAATTAATGGTGAGAAGCATCAAACTCAGATGCCTAAACGTAGGCCATTAAATCTGTGGATAAAGCTTTTCGGTGCAAACAGCCTTATGGCAAAGACTGCAGGCTCCCAGCCTCCTCACTGCACCTGCAGATCAGGTCCTTCGCATTTCAGGAAATTAGAAGGCTCATTCCAAGTCTGGTGCTTTTGTCCTGCTCATTTTTGTCACCTGGCTGCACCTGGTAGCAAACCTTGCAGATCTGGGAGCAGCATCATGCTGAAAATTGGTCTGTGGGCATTTCAGGCTCGCCTTGGGTGGCTGCACAAATTAGTACTGACTTTACGCATGCAATACGAGAAACAGACTGATTTTAAAAGACGTTAGGAAACTGAATCAGTGTGAAGAGAAACACGACTCTTCTGCACCCAACAAAAAGGCCTAAGGCACAGCTGCAAAACTCACACTGAGAGCTGAGGTCCTTCATGGTCAACATGTGCTCTATGGTTCCGTCCAAAGCAGCTAGGTTGAAGCTTATTCAGGTGGGGCAGCTTCAGCCAGAGTTCCTAGCAGACATGCCAGCACAGACCATTAAGTCTGATAGAGGATGATCCAATGCCTTTCTCTAGTCAAGACACTGCTTTGCGCAGCTCCCAAATGCTGCATGGTCCTGGAGGCCAATACTGATGCCTAAGGTGGATGTTCACAGCAAAGCTGACTTCCTCCATAGCTTACAAATGTCACCACAGCACCCCATTCAGTGCAAGAGCCTTGAAATTGCACTCTATTTCCCAATCAAGCTAGCTTTTTCAGTACATTTGCAGCATGCAGCTCTACGGCCTGTTCTGGGAAGTTGGAGAAAGGAGAGAGAGAAGATAGGAAGGATTACAGATGGCCAACTGATACGGTCTCAGAGGTTTCTACACTGTTCCCCAAACCACAAAATTGTCTTGGAAAACAGCTTGAAAGAAGTGGCTAAAATGGCTCATGTAGCCCATCTGACCAGCCTGCAGCAAGTTCTCTTGCATTTCAGTTTTGAGTCATTGTACATTTTACTTGTCACGAAATCAGCCATGAAGAATTAGCAGGTTTGTACTGCACAAAGAACAATTCCTTCTCATTCTGCTTCTGTGCTGCTCTGTATTCATTGATCTACACCAGTTGGTGAAGACCAAATGAATGCTGAGTTTGCTCCACTGCTCAGCGTATCTTCCCAGAATAGCAAGAGAATTTTCCTTGTAACAGTTCATTCCATAAATATCTTCAAAGCCAAGCTCCTCTTGACAAAGGAATTAAAGCTGTATATCATCTGATATATATATATACGGCTGATTACAACCATCAGGATGGTCTTTCAGTTTCCTTGGAAACTGAAAATGTGAAAACACAGTTTTACCATCCAGCAGAACCTGGAACTGAGGTCACCAGTTTTTATGTCACTGTATAAAGTGATGCAAACATGAATTGTTCATACATCAAGCTTAGATTCTCTTCCCAGGTGGAGTGCTATTTTTTTCCACACTGGCTAACTATTTGAAGTGTTATTTTCTCCACCCTTGGGTCTTGGAGAGCTTTCAGATTAAATCCCAAAGAGCCATCTGCTGCTGGAACTTCTCTTGAGCTGTCTCTGCAAGCAGTAGATACTGATGTACCCAGGGGCAGCCTATGTCCAGGAGCCCAACTCCAGGGCTCCAAGGAAGCCAGGAGTGCCTGATGCAGCAGTCAGCTCTAAGCACAGCCTGTGGCAATCTGTCCAGATGGCACTGAACCCTGACACTTCTCCAGGCGATGTCAGGGCAAAGCTGAGGAGACCGGTGTGAGCCTTACATGAACATGCACGGAAAAAGAAAACAGTACAAAGGATCTTTCACATGAGTGACCGTAGTGGAGCGAGGAGAGGAGGAAAGAGGAGGTCAGGAGTAATCACAAGGCTTACATCTGGGAGCAATTGTGCTGCACAATTCTCCAGGGAGTAAGATGGGGTGAGTGCTGTGAACATTCAGAAGATGGTTGATGAAGCCACAGCTTAACTCTACAGACACTAAAAAAACCTGCAGCAATGCAAGAAAAAATGACAACTGTTCCTCAAAGGCTGAGACATCCACAACAGAGGAACTCACCGGGGAAATCCTCCTGTAACCCAGGCCTTTAACTCCTGCAGCTGGGCATAGACTAGGAATCTCTTCAGCCAGCAAACTAGGCTGGAGACATTGCACCCCACTGCTTGTTTCCCTGCTTGCTAGTTCCTTCTGCAAAACACACACATGGCTGCACGTGCCTCACTCGCCTGCCTGGGCCCTGAGTTGTGAGAGCACTTTTTTTTTTTTCCCCCCCATTTTGAATCCTTGTTTCATTCAGAAAAGAAAAACCAAGTCAGCACCGCACACATATCCCCATTTTTGCTGTAAGAGCTGTCTCCCTCCCTTCGTGCCCCCTTCTCAGGCAGGCACACAGCAGTAAGTCAGAGGCTCGACTCCAACCAATGGAGGATGTTTCTGTTTGTGGCTGATTACATGTTAGTCTTTTATTTTAGACTTATGGTTACAAAGCAAAAAAAGAGAGAGAAAGAAGACAAATAAAAACCAGGAGTTCAAAGTTGTTTTCCTGATGGACAGCAGCAGATAACAAAACCACACTAACTGTCACAGCCACTGAATGACCCACAAGGCATTCTGTACTGCACACACTATTAGTAATAGTATACAATGAAGAACTGTTGAGCAAATGCTGTAATTCTAAAGAGGCAGAAAAAGAGCACTACTTTATATCATT